GACAGAGGGAAATGCATCTCTTCCCTTACTCCAAGAGTGGAAAATTAACCCTTTCACTTTCTTGCCAGGCAGCTTGCACTCCCGCCTAATCACAGCAATCCACAGACCTCCTAGCACATTTGGTTTACTTCAGACAACGCTGTAATTGAGTGAAGGCTTGAGCAGCTTTAATGTCTTTATTTTACCAAGGTGATCAGAAAGCAGGTGGTGTATTGTTCAACAATTCCAGATATGACTAAGTACAATAATTATGTGTTTTGGCGCTGTAAATGTGTTTTAATTATTATGAATTAACATCAGTTAAAACCACCAGAGCAACTAGTGAAGAGCTGTGTAAATGCATTTCTTACTCTGCAGTCTGTAAGCTGCAGGTCATGTGAGGAATTTGGCTGAAATCCAGCGTATCGGTGAGGAGGCTCAGGTGTTGCACAGATTTTCTGTATCTTGGATAAACCATTTAGTCTCACTGTCCCCAGTTTCTTCTCATGTTGCTTGCCAATTTGTAAAATACACTGGAAGTAGTGAAGTGCTTTGATCTATCTATTTAGACAGAATGATTTGGAGCAGAGATCGCTTTTTACTGTGTATCCTGGAAGCACATTGGAAACCCCCTTCTCTATTCTCCAGATAAGCAAACACTCACAATATGATATTCCAAGAGGATGGCATTACAGCAGGTAACACTGCACATCGTTAAATAAAAGATGGCAGCTTTCCATATGCCACCTTTCTAGAGGTAATCTAATTAGATTAGAATTCATTATGGATATACAGGTTACACAGCACATCCATTGCCCAGATTGCATAACCCAGTCTCTCATGTTGCCAGAAGAAAAGGAGCCAAGCAGTTAACAGCATGGTGGTTGCTAGACTCTGTTGCCCAAAACCAAACTCCTAGGGAAATTAAGAAGAAATAAATTTCACAAATTACTTGTACTTATTTATAACTATCACCGCAATCTTCCGAAGAAGAAAAATATAATTCAAGAATAACTCACCAGAAGAATACAAAGGGATCTTAGCAGTAAAGAAGAGGCTGGTTAGATTTCAGAAAACAGAAAGAAACCTTAAATTATCTGAATGCAGTCTTTAATTATTTAAATTTTTAATGAAAAATCATTTTAAAAGCCAACATGCGCTCTCACGTAAATTGATTTCTTAAAATGTTTAAAATCATTTGGATGCTCCACTTTTGTCTGTGTTGTTTCTTCCTTTCATTCTCACAGCACTTTCCCCTCTGCCTGTGCAGATCAGAGTAGCTGCCTTCTGCAGAACAGCAATCTCATTTTGTTTACCTTGTGTTTCAAAGAGAATTGAACAAGCCCAGGATTCGCCTTCTCTAAACAAATACTGGCAAGACAAAGGTATCACAGCTATTCTAGGGACAAGAGGTTTGTTGAGATGGAGAATGGTAAAGACTGGCAAGAAAAAAAAGTCAATGTGTTTTTATCTGAAAAAAAAGTTAATCCTTTTCACAGCCTCATTTTCTTTGCTTTTGAGATAGCTCTCCTTTTTCATTTAAGTTTTAGAGTTTTTCAGCTAAAGGAAGCAAGAAACCGAGGTATTTTCTTTGTTCCTGTCAAGTAGCTTGAACAGTTTGAGAACAGAAACCAGTCAGAGCAGTGTGATTAGCGTAGCCAATTAGGCTGGATTTGCATATTCACAACACGGCTATCAAGAAATAATTCTGCAGAGATAACACAAGTGTGGCAATGCCTGTCTGCCAATCAGAGCACCCTGGCTCCCGTGCTATATGGTAATTGAGAAATAACCATAGAGTGATTCTGCAGATTTGGCACCCAGAGCCAATCTACGCGCTGGCACAACGCAGCTGGGGAAGAAAGGGCATTTGTAAGGCGGTAGCAATACGATACCCCTGCACACTGGAGAAGGTTGAGCTACAATCCATTTACCTAAAATGCAACAGCATCTGTCAAATGATTTTGTTCTTCCAAGATTCACTCCAGCTACAACTTGAACTAACTACCACTTTCAGGGGTCCAACCTCATCAGGAGTTTGCGGGACTTGGCTTTTAATGAGATGGCAGTTGGCCAGGGACTGAGTGCCTTGGAGCCCCTCCTGCCCTTCAGCTCACCCAGTGGTCCACAGGCACGGCAGGGGCATAGACGGTGCACTACACAAGGTCAAGGTGCAGAAGTTGAGCTTTGCACAATGGCCTAAAGGATGGGCAATAAAGCTCTGCTTTCTTCTGCCCCAAAAGGCCTGCACCAGGGTGTTACCCAAGGACCAGGCAAGAAAGCAAACAGCCCTTCAGGAAACCTTGTAGACTCTGTTGGATAACAAACTGGGGCGGATGATCACGGCAGCTTTATTATCTCTGAAAGTGAAAAATCATCTTATATAGTATAGCAACAACAATCTGTGCTCCATCTCAGTGTTTCTCTGGCTCCACTTGTTGTCTCTTACCAACAACTGCACCGCTGCAAGCGTTCAGGTGAGCATGACTGTGGCTGAGTGGGTGGCGCACAGAGCCAGCTGCCACCCTGTGCCTATGGTATCTGCGTCTTCAGGATGCTCTATTTTCTTACCAATGGGCTGACAAGCGATTGGCTGCAGTGTGCAGCATCCATGTCTGCTGATTTTAGAAAGAAATATGGTGATCTCTATCCTTAATGCTCGACTCCTCTTCAGTGCTGGGGGCTGATGTCGTGGTGTGCAATTGCAACAAACTGGGTCAGGAGGGACTCCCTGGAGTGTTCTCCCAGGTACAACTACACAAGGCCACATTCACTTTCAAAACTGCTAAGGGAAAGGCAACAACACCAAAAATAACTTGTGGTACTCACTGCGACAAGATATCAAGGAAAACTTAAAATATCCCTAAAATTAGACCATTACACAAGTCATAAATTTATAAACTGGTATCATACCCACCAGGGTAAGGACCATGATCTCTCAACCTCCATGCCACAAAGAGGCATTAAGCACATTTAGTTGGAGAGAAATGCCTCCCTCCAGGAAGATGTATTTTTTTATCATTATCCATGATAGGGATTTTATACCTATCTCTGGAATACTCGCTGCTGATTTATCTAGTCCAGTAACCTATGTAAGGTTTTTTTTTTATGGTCTCAGTCTATGAGGATCCACAATCATCTCTTTCCTTCCTATCCCCTTTGTGGCACCAGCTCTTTATTAGAAAGTTAATAAACTTTGTGTATGTTCTAAAGATAATATTGAAAACTGCAGAATTGTGTTCTGCATTTTATAATTGGTGTGGAAAGAAGGGGGAGATCTAATCCTATTGGGCCTTCTCTCTCTTTTGCTCTCTCTCTGCCTTTTTCCCTTTTGATGGTAAGCAGCAAATTTTAATTAGCTTCATTTCCACAATTCAGTCATGCATATGTAATCTTTGTTCACACTTTTATAAAGTAAAATTAAGTGAAAGAAATTGGGTAATAATAGAAAGCTTGTCTGAGCAGAACAAATGTGAATTATCAAACATAAGGAAAGATGACTGGGACTACAGGGCTTGAAGTTGTGCAAGGTTTGAGGTGATTTTTCTGAAACAGGAATGCATAAATAATGCATAGAAACAGGTGCTGATTATCCTGTTTTGGGCATCTTTTGTTCATTATATACTTGGGCTGCTGAGGTACAGTGATAACCACTGAATGTGAGGAGACTGCTTAATAACAGCTTCCTAATGTTTCTCTTTTATCATGAGCTGGAAGTGTCACATGAGCTTGTCTAGTTAATAAAAATCATTTTGTGAACCCACTGTTCTTAGATTTGATATTGGAGCAGATCGCTATACTGGGCCTCTCTCTTGATTATAGCCACAAAAGCTGTTCTGCCGTTTTGCATTGTAATTTAAAGGTTTCCTAATCCATATACACACCCTCTAATTAAATGTTTCCAGGGGTTACCTTGGGAGCCTTCAGTGCTATGGTTTGAAACTAAAACTAAAGACTGCATTAAATTCATTCCCCCTGGGGGAATGAGGCACAGGACAGGGAAAGTATATTTTCATCCCCTGCTAGTCCGGATTATTTGAAAGCATGGGCATGATTGGGATTACTAACTTCATTATTTTTGTTACCTAACATGAGAAGATGGAAATTTAAAGGGAGACAATCAATGTGTCCAAATCTAGAGTTCAGCTTATTTTATAGCTTCTGAAAAGACTCTTTAGAGTGTAAACAGTTATTTTAAGAAGCTACCAGTTCAGCCGCATCAACATCCTGTTGATGTAAATCAGTCCGTGGCTGCAGAAGCTGTGTAACAAACACTGCTGTGGCAGATGCCAAGGTCTTCATTAAAAGAAATGTAAAGTAGTGAAGCATGCTGGAATTAGTGCATATAGAAGTAAAGTCTGAAGCCCAGTTAATGTTAAACTCATGAGCAGATACTTCCTCTCCAGCACCTATTCCTACATTCAGCCTGACCCCACCAACCTAACATCTTTAGGAGAAACACCTCTTTTTGTCCCTGAGAAGGAACTCTTAACTACAGCAAGTGAATTTCAGACTTGGGCGGGTTTCATTTTTTTTTTTTTTCTAAACCTGCTTTGCTGCCAGTGACTAGGGATAGCCAAGATTTAGGTTAATGGTTAACAGAGCACCTATAACTACACAGAAACTCTTGACTTCCTGCTGGGGCCGGGACCAAAAGCTGCCTTTGCTTGCAGAGGAAGAGGCGAGCGTTGAAAGGAGAGCAGTTCACACCGCAAAGGGCTGGAGAACAGCAGCTTCACTTAGTAGAAAAGAGGAGGAAAATCCAAAAGGAGCAAGAGGAGTTTGCCATAAAGATAGGTAAGAGCTGAAACACTTTCCCGCTCGGCTTATTGACTCAGTGGCTGTTGCTAACAAAACCCACAGGTGTGGCTAGTTGAGACACATTTTGTTGTACCTGACTGCTCTGACGTGTGTGTCTCAGTCAGAGAGGCAAAGTGAGAAAGGATCTATTTGCTGTGAAACTGAACGTCAGAGAGGGCAGGAAGGCTATTCCTCCCTCCCCCTCCCGCCAGGGGCAGCTCATGGCAGGACAGACATCCCCTTCAGACTGTTCTCATCTCATTGACCACAGCCACGTCGCTGAGTTTGAGGTGTCTCTTTGGGTCAAGATCACTTTGGCCTTAGTGTATGTCTGCATCTTTGTTGCGGGCATCCTGGGCAACAGCATCACCATCAAGGCCACCCGGATCCTGCAGAAGAAAGGCTACCTGCAGAAGGAGGTCACGGACCACATGGTGAGCCTGGCCTGCTCTGATCTGCTGGTCATCCTGCTGGGCATGCCCGTGGAGTTCTTCAGTGCCATCTGGAGCCCCTTTTCCGCCCCCAATGGCGACGTGGCTTGCAAGCTCTACTGCTTCCTCTTTGAAGCCTGCAGTTATGCCACTGTGCTGCATGTGGCCACCCTCAGCTTTGAGAGGTACGTGGCTATCTGCCACCCCTTAAAGTTCAAGGCAGTCTCTGGACCCCGCACGGTGAAGCTGCTCATCGCCTTTGTCTGGGGTACCTCTGTCATAGTGGCTCTGCCCCTGCTCTTTGCCATGGGCTCGGAATATCCTCTGGAAACCATCGAGGGCTACCGAGGTCCGACTGCCTGCATCAAGCCTACGCCCAGGCACCACGTCCTTCAGGAGAAGGAAAATATGACCATCTGTACCAGCCTCTCCTCCAAGTGGTCTGTCTTTCAGGCCAGCATCTTCAGCGCCTTCAGTGTGTACATCGTAGTGCTGGGATCCGTCACCTTCATGTGCCACAGCATGATGAAAACCCTGATGATCCACAAAGAAGCAACTGTGGCAGTGAAGGGTGGACTAAGACACCAGGAGCAGTACCTAAGAAAAAGTGAGAGCTCGGAGGCCAAGAACTCCAGGAGACAGATCATTATATTCCTGGGTAAGAGCCCTGTCCTACTCTGCCTCCCCTCCCCTGCCCACTTTCCACATGAGAAGAAAACCCAGAAGCCTCCATTTTATCTCACCAAGTTCCCCCAAATGGGGTATGTATGGTTTGAAACTGGTGCAAATGAGGAAGAGGGATACTTTTGGTTGCAATGATATATTTTAAGAAGCCTGATTTCCCTGCATCTTTTTGACTCACTCTTTTTGTCAGAACAGGTGGGAGGGAAGAAGAAGAAAAAATCCATTTACTGTCTGCTATTTATGTTGTTTGATGATACTGCATGCCAACATGCAGCAGTATGGGTAACAGGGTGTTGCTGCTTGACCTTTGGGGTAGCAATAGGCAGTGGTTGCCTGGATATAAAGTAGCTGTACTTGCATATTTTCCCATTAAATTACAAATATGTGCATGTTTAGTAAGGCTCTTGATGGGAGGGAAGACTGTCTTGTAAGTTCTGAAGCTTGTCCCACTCCAAAGGCATGTCCCTGTTAATTCAGGATGCTCCCTGGAGGGTACTTATTTAGCCTTGGCAGTTGTGGCTGTTTTGCATCCAAGCATTAAGAAAGCTGGGCTGGAGAGTTAATTTGGTCTTGCAAATTGTTGTTGCCCTCTTTGAATTTTTTTTCCTGGTTTTATCGGAAGGCCTATAACCTTGGAATTATGTTTGATTCTGATGTCTTTCGCCACATTTGTCAGACAAAAACTAATCAAGCTGTCATTTCACCAACTTGGAATCTTTCTGGGCTGTGATCCATGTAGCCTCCACATTTGTTGATGCTCTTAGAGGCACCCTTCATCATGCCCTGGCTGAATTACTGCTAGTTCTTGTTTTGTTGGCTTGCTTAACGTGATACTGGATATAATAAATGAACCATCTAGAGTATGAATGCACAGTAGATCTAGTATTCCGTGTTGCTTTTTGGTGCTCTGCTTGATATTGCAGAGGGGGAATTGAAACTTGTGGTCTGTCCACTTCTACAGCTGTAAGTGTCTTTTTTTTTTTTTTATTCTGTGCTTCCTCATCTAGTCCCCCTTTTGTCATGGTCTGTGATGAGACGTGAAGCTGCAGGGTAAGGAATCCAGGGTGCACCCAGCTCCTTTTCTGCTGCACCTGTATTAGAGTTGGGAACATGGTGAAAACCTATCATACAGACAAGGCATATGACTCAAAGGTTTGGGGAAAGGGTGGAGCTGCACACTGTACCAGCAGAGAGGGTGACAAATGCTTCAAATGGGAGATGTGACACTCCAGGCTGTATAGAGCCCTTCCTCATGCTCAGAGTGTACATGTAATGAAGAAATCATCTCATCGCACAAGGCATCTATTAGTCTGGGATGACAGGCCCCATATCTGGGTGATTAAAAGGGCTCTTGGTATCCTTACTCCACCAAAAGTACTGATTTCTGGGGTAGAGGCTTAGCAGCTAATGCTAAATACAGCATGTTGCACAAAGCAGAGAAAGAGATAAGGCTCTGCTCTTTAAGTGCTACTGTGGGATCCTTAAATGGCTGTGGATCTCTCTCCCCTTGTAAATTATCATCCACTGCTACATTAAAGCCCAGTCTAAGATCCAAATCCTGTAGCAAGTTCTAGCTAGGTTGAGAGACGGAGGTAAATTGCTGTGGCTTTTCTTTCCCCTCCTTGATTATTGTTCTTGTTTGGTGATGGTCTAGTGTGGAATAGGGCAGACATAGCGCTGCTTGCGGAAGTGTTAAAAAGCTAAATGAAAGTGATTGGCTTGTCCTTTATCTTAAGAGAATTTGCTGCCAGTATCTGATGCTTCTTCTGTGCTCTCAGCTTTCTGGAGCCAGTAGATACTTCTGTGAATTCTCCAAAATTGTTTCAGTGGGAAGACTCTTAATACGAGTCTTGCTAATTTACTTGGGTTGGGAAATAAATTAATAAATGGAGGAGGAAGAAACTGTGGCCTGCATCCTGGAGAACAATGCAAAGCAATTTAATTTGGAGATTTCAGAAGAGTGATGCTTTAGGGCAGTTTTAACCCAGAAGAAATGAACATATAAATTGTTTACAAATCGCTGAATTTAAATATAGTGATTTAGAAGTCCTCTTTGTTTTTCATTTAACAGATGGGTCAAATTAAAACAAATACTTGCGCATTCCCAACATATTTCACTTTTAATGTGAAATGTAAATGACAGTATATAGCATCATGTCTTTGAACATCTAACAGCAATAAAAACAATTTGGCATTTTCTTCTTGTAGTTGTTAAAAGTGATAAGTTCTATAAAACAGAGATTAAATTCATAAATCTCCTGACGATGAGAAAAAGCTAAGTACAAGGAGACACAAGAAGGAACTGACGCTTTTTTAGTGTCACATTATTGTGTGGCACTTGAGAAAATTCACGAAAATGTATTGTAAATTTTGAAAGTGAAAGACTACTTGCCATAGGTAGTATTGATGCTTGCAGGATGGGCTCCAGATGGGGTGACACCACTGTTGTGATGGAGGAGGAAGGTGCAAGGGGCCAAGCGAGGAGAGCAGCACCGTGCTGGGCAGGCTGCGCTCATGTGGGGAAGAGCTTTTGTCCAAGGAAGGTGGCTGCAAGGTTCAAATCTTTTGGCTTAAAGCCCAGATGGTCTGGTTGGGGATTTGAAGTCCATGATGTAGAGATGTCAGTTTCTGTTTCTGGCTACCTTGCTACGCTCACGGTGGAGAGGAAGGACTGGCCCAATGGCTGCAATAGCAACTCTATGCCTGGTGTTGGGGAGGGGGTACTTCCAGGGGCTCAAAATTTGGTAGATTTCCCCCAGTGGAGGAATGCAAATTTATCCCAGTATTTTGGGAGATAATCAATTCTGTTTTTATGAAGTAGGCTGTGCAGGGCTATTCCTTCCAACTTCCTTCCCACTATTGCTGTTGTCTTCAAAGAAAAACATGATAGCACATGCAAGTCTCTACTTAATGCTCCTGCTCCTGAAATCAGGCATTTTGTGCTTTTGGATAGACTGGGGCATACTTCCCGCAATCTCTGTGTGTGTGATTTATTTAATCATCTTCTGAGTCATGTGGTAGAACTCTACCTTCAGTGGGTCAGCCCATCCATATGAGCAGTGTAGATGAGACTGGTCGACACTGTGTGGGTTACCTATGTTTGTTGTTGTTAAAGCAGCTTTGTTTATGTTGGGACAACAGATCTTTCTTCTAGTGAAGGGCTGCATGGGTCTGGATGAGTGTGGCCTGTCATGAATAGCAGGGAAAATATAGCTGAACTTAATTTTTTGAGTGGTTCATGGCAGCATTTGTTAGTAAAAGCTTCTCCCCTCCTAGCAGCAGAAACTGGATAGCTATAGTGCTTATGAAAATACTTGTCTGATGGCACTTTGATGAAACACAAGCTTTTAACAGTATTTAAAACCTCCTAATGCTTGGCCCACCCTGACAGGGACTGATTCAGTCTTTGTGGCTACTCGATGTCATCTTTCTCGATCTTGTGGCTGTAAAGGGCAGGGCAGTGGTCAGAGGGCTACCTAAACAGTCACGAGGTGCTGCTGAGGACCTCTTGCTGCTCCAACACCTGAGCTCAGGCCCTTGCCACCGTAGCAGTGAGCTCTTAAGAAAGGGTGAGTTTGGAGTCTTATATGTATTATTACATATATTATAACTGGGTTATAGCAAACAAAGAAGGAGACTGTAATAGAAGGATCCTGTAAAAGAGAGATCCAGCTAGTGCAATAATGATAAATGTTAAAAAAAGAAGGCACTTTCATAGCTGAAACTATGTGAGTTAAAAATCTTCAGGAAATGTTAACAGGTGGCCTGCTCACTGGGAAAGGGGAGTGGTATGGGACAAGCCTCCACACAAGTTGCTGGTGGGGTGGGCTTCGGCACCAGCGGCTCCATGCCAGCAGTGCCTGCTTGCTGGCCATGGCTACATCCTTCTTAATCTGGTCAATAATATAAAGCCATATTTATACAAGAGCAGCTGCATGGTTTGTCATCCAACTAGGTCTGACTGACCTGAACTTGTACTCTACACTGAAGTGAGTTTTGACTATCCCAGATGGAAAATTTGTTGCTTCTAAAGCTTCTGTGATACTTCCCTTGGCAGCTTCAGTTTTGTGCTTCTGCTAAAAGCCTTAATTATTTTGTATAAAGCAGCCTCAAGCCTACTGCAGTAAATACGCTGAAATAAAAACGTCCTTTAGCGTTGCTACATCCTCTGCTTTTCTTTGTATACACTTCCAATTTGCCCTTTGGAGCAATACTCTTCTGTTTCCACACCAGAGGCATCCCACTGCATGGGTCTGCTGGGCACTATGGGTGCTTCGCCATTTGCCAGCCAGCATCTGGGCAGCGTTCTTCTGTCTCCTGACCGTGATGAAACATCCATCCATCCCATCCAGCTCTTCCTTCCAGAAAGAAATATCAAAGTAATCTGGCTGCTACGAAAGTGTTGAGATAGATGCATTAAAGCACTGCTGTAGCTGCAGCAGTTGGCAAGAGCCAGAGCTGCAGCTGGACCTACCTAACTGGAGACCCTGCTGCTATCAGCCTGACTCCACCAGCTCGCCCATGCCAAGTGGGGCAGATAATTCTCTCTGCTGTCTCTTTCCCATCACTACAGAACTGCAGCTTTTCTGCTTTGGGATCTTCTGATGTAAGATGAATTTTACCTACATGCCTGGACAGCAAATATCCTACAGCTTCTTTGATGAGCAGGGAAAGGGAATTGCTTATTATAACCTATGGCAGTGCCTCCATCTGAGAAAGGCAGTGTGGTGGAGGGTTGCTGGGTTTGGTTTTTTTTTTTCCTTTGGTCTAATGCTTAAGTATGTCAAAGACACTGAGTGTCAACCTGAAGACAGTAGCAGTGGTGGTTTTGTGTGAGATGGTATGATACAGGTAGCTTCGGGTCTGGTCTGCTTTATAGAGCAATACCAGCTAGAGGCTTTACTGAGACTCAGGTAAGTGCTGCAGAAGGAAAGACCATCCCTGTCTTTAAATCCAAATGAAAGGGGCAAAAGG